GTTACACACAGTAGATACAGTCGTCCTCAAATGTATTCATATCCTCCCATTAAAGAAGGAAGAAAATCACTGAAATACGTTGAAATTGACAAAAGTAATAATAAGTAAAGAATGTAATGAAAATCATGACATTGCTTTGGAATTGTGGGTCAACAGAAAGAGCACAGTTTTGTTTGTTTTTAAAAAATTTTCTTTTCAACCACAATTCAAAAGCAATGTCTTATTTCACTAAATTATAATTTTGCAAATTTTTATTTATTATTACTTTTTTTCAGTTTCTAGTTATTTGAGTGACTGTTGTGAGTTTTGCCTTATCTTTAATGGAAGGGTGTGAATACATGTGAGGACTCCTGTAGATGGAGGAACAATGAAAGAGCAGCTAAGGTGCTAATAGGTCGAAGAAACAGCAACAAGGTCCCTCAGAAATGCAGGTCTTAGCAGAAATGTGTAAAAATTGCTAGTATTTAAAATAATGGCGTCAGGGCGACGTTACTGCTGCACAGAGAGGATGAGGAGGAGCTTCTTCCCTCAGGCTGCTGGACCTGAGACAGTAGACTCAATAAAAACCCAACCGGTCACTTTGCACCTTGTATATATACATGTATATAATATTATAATTGTTTTTATTTTATCTCCTTTTGCACTGTTTGACAATTTGCTTCATTTTATTTTTGCTTTTTAAAAAAAAAACCCTTTCTCTCTTTCTTTCTTTCTTTCTTTCTTTCTATATATACACTCATATATATTTGTTTCTTGTGTTTTATTCTTTATTCTTATTCATCTTTTTAATATTGTTTCGGAGTGGAACAGGTTAACAAAGCATTTCACTGCATTATGTACAACTGTGCTTGTGACTAATAAAAGGCCTTGAATCCTTGAATCCGGTTGGTTTTATTTACAATAAAACACAAGTCATGAGAGAACAGAATGAGTTTATAAAGGTCCACTAGTGGCTTAAGGGTGACGTCATCATTAAACTTTAGCTCTATATTTTGCAATTAAGTTACTTTGTCATTGCTGTATGATACAAAAACTGACACATGATTGGTGCAACTGTATGTGCAGTAATTATGTATGACCTCATGTCAATGACGTAACTCGGTTCACTTCCATGTCGTGTTACGGACTTTAACTGTGTAATGCTTGTTATTGTTTTTTCTTAGACATCGTCAGAAAGCCCCGCTTGCGCAGGGCATCAAAAAATTGAGTCAAACTCTTGTTGTTCCTCTCCACGGAAATCTTTAGTAAAAGGCGAAAGATTTATACGATCTGAAGAGAAACAAGAGTGTCTGACTTCCCCGGTTCGCTCTGAGGGAAGCCATCAGCGGCCATACGAGTCTAGTTTACGGTTCACTGAGCGACACGTAAATCTGTCAAAGTACAGAAACCTGCACGACTTAACGTTTAGTGTAAAACAACCAGTGTGTGATAAACATCGCAGAGTTCTAGTATGAGAACTACAACTTTATTCAGCTCGGATTTATGCTCCTCGCTGTGGCGCAGTGCATGATGGGACTTTACAGTCTTTTCCGGGTTATTTTCCCCCAACTGTCCCGGTCCTACGAATGAGCTCCAATTTAACATTGATCTGAACGTCAAACGTGTGTAAGGGTGTTTAAATCGGTTTAAATGTTTATCACTTAAACATTTTAAACCGTTTGTTGAGTACCGAGAAGATCCGCTTCCTCCGGAAGTAGCTCGGCAGACGGAGGGTTACTATGGTTACCGACAACGTTACTGACTGTGGGATTAATTTTGTTTTTAAAGTCAGGAGTTGACTAAACGTGTGTTGCAAAGAATAACTATAAAATTTTAAAATTATACGAGATGCAGAAATACAACTGTTGGGGAAAGCACGACCGAGAAAGTTTATGGATTCAGCTCCGTTTGTTTAATCATGATATTATTATGTATCTGTGGGACTGAGTACAGCTGATCTGGACTGTAAAATTGGAATA